TCAGACAGTTGCCGGAAAAGAACTTGGCTCTCGCAATACCCAATCACCTATAGCCCCGCCCCTCGCCCGCCCCGCCCCATTCCCCTAACTGGCTTTCTGGCCTCAGGCCCAACCTCCTTTGTTTCATCACTCGGCTGCTTTACCCCTACGCATCCCTTGTCTTAGGGAAGGGGCACTCAGCCAGGATAAAGTCCAGTCACTACTGTCACCATGGCGACTACTGCAACGCCCCTCCGCTTCACCCTGGGAAAGCCGCCACGGAGCCCGTGGCAACGAACTCTCGCGGCTCTTCGCGTGCACTGGCCGCGCCCTGCCGCGTGGACTGGGAAGGAAACTAAACCATGGTGGAGTTAATGACAGTGGGGACACGCCCCTTCCAGGGAAGGCGGGGCCCAGCCCCGAATGCCGTCGGTGTCTTCCCTCTTGCTACTCCCAAGGCCCACGGTCGCTGAAGCCCCACAGCAAGTTCTCCTGGACCTTTCAGGGCGACCCCTTCGGGCAGCCCAGCCTCAGCCACCCATAACCCTCCATAGTCCTTGGCCTTTCAGTTGCGGTTTTATATTCGAGAGAGGGGTTCAGAGGGCGCTGTTAAATTCCTTTCTGTCTCCTTTTTGCCCTCTTCACTTCGAGAGGTGACCCTCCTTTTTTCGTCTAGCACTGTGTCCCATTCAACAGACATTTATGTAGGTGCCAGGCGCTCCTCCGTTGGCACCTACATAAATTACTGACTTTAATACAACTTTACTTAATTCATCCCAAGGTTCTTGGGGGGCGCACAGCGGTATGCGTTTTCCTCTCCTGTTTCTTTCCCATCTGTCTTTCGTGGCGCGAGTCTCCGTCTGTTTCTTCCCATCTTCCTCATCAGCACCCCGAAGCCGTAAGGTCTGGTATCGTAGCGGGAACCCTTCTGTGGACCCCGCCCCAAACTTCCAAACTGGGAATTATAGCAGGTGGCTCGTTCCTGGACGCCAAGAACTTCCCGTAGTCCACCGACCCTGAATATCTTAACAGAGGGACTGGTAGGGCAAGTGGCAAAGTTACCGACAGAGCGAGCGAGCCGCGGGAGCCCAGAAGGCACCTAGCCGGGAAGTAGGCGGGGCGCCTGGGGCCTGCCCACGGCCGCTCATTGGTTGCTGCGCTTAATTCCGACCGGACGGGATGGTGGCGCTATATCGCCACCTTCCGGGGAAGCCGTGTAGTGCTCTGAGGGTCCTTAAGGGCTGGATGCCTGGGTCCGATCGCCAGGCAAGCCCTTACCAGATTTCTTCCCAGCCTGCTGGCGGAGAGTTGAGCTTGGGCTAGAGGCCGCCCCCGCGTCCTCCCGGGAGCACTGAGGTGCAGCCAGGCATAAGAGAGCGAGCACACAGCGCTGGAGCCTGTGGGCGCCGGAGATGAGACCCACTGACCAGGAGCTGAGCTTAAGCGGGGCGGGGAAAAAGGGGGCATAGGGAAAGGTGTTGGCTTCCCGGAACCCACAGGGGCACTAGGCTGAGGATGGTCACAGGGGACCCAGGTGTCCTCGTTTTTTTATTTCTGACAGTGCCACGTTTTCCCCATCTTAGAAAGTGGTACTACCAATCACCCCCTTGTGCAAGCTTATCCCCCCATCCCTCACCTTACTGTCCAAATTTGTCCGGTTTTCCTTCTAAATATATCTCAGATTCAGTCATTTCTTGGCTTCCCTGCTTCTCTTCTGCTAGACCAGGCCGCCATCTTGTGACTGGACTCAGGAACAGCTTCCTAACTGGTTTCCCACCTTACTAATCTTACAAATGGAAAACTGATCATGTTAACTCCTCTGTTGAAACCCCTTTGTCAATGGTTTCCACTTCCCAGGTGCTCCCAGCAAGCACTCTGCCCCCCTCCCCCTGCTTCATTCCCCATCATTGCTTGTTGACTTGTCTCCCCCACTAAGACTGTGTGCTCTGTGGAGACAGTGTAAAAACTATCAAGGTAAAATGGAGCTGCAGCTGCCATCCCAGAACTGCCTTGAACATCTTATGCCTCAAACCTTTGGAATGTTAAAACAGGGCAAAATAAACTTTGGATTGGGCCTAGTGCAACACTGTCCCAAAGAACTGTTTACAAAGATAACAAGAAAGCAGTTTTTATGACTACTGGAATGAAAACTTAAAACTGTTCAGAATTAACATTACTATGTTAGCTTTTCTGCACTGATAGGACCGCCTTCCTTCTATTGATGTAATTGTTCCTCTTTCCCTTCTTATAAATACCCATTGCCTTTGTCTCCTAATCAGGAGACATTATCTGAGCTTCTGCCTGAAAGGATGCTTCCCGAATAGTTATTCTTATTGATCTCACATAAATGGCTGTGGCCTCCCACTTTGAAAGACCTTTTATTTTTAGGTTGACAGCAGGGACTTGGTGCAATGTTGTATCTGCAACGCCTGATGCAATGATTCAATACACTGTCTGTTGAATGAGTATGAAAGAATGTTCCTCTCTTTCTTCTGTTGCTGGTCTCCTGTCTGCAAGCCAGGCTGTTAGGCCCCAGAGGGGCCGTGGGTGAGGACACTGTGTCCCTGTGGCTGTTCTGGCACTCATTTCCACCTCAAAGGCCATTGCCCCTCTCTTCCTCTTGGCCAACTTCTCTTGCACCAATATAAGCTCAGGCTGGAGGCTGGTTGGCAGTCATGAATTTTATGGCAGGCCCTGCCTGTCGCTGGAGCCTGGGTCCCCTGGGCCTCCGCAGCAACCCCCAAGCTCTGTACAGGGTCCTCTTAATAGTGCTGGTCATGATGAGCTCGGTGTTAGGTAAGTGGCTCTAAGGGGTCAGAAGGGTCTCTTGGCCTGCTGGATAGAGAAGCCCACAGACACCAGGTGTCTGGGTACATCTGCCCAGGATGCTCAGGTAAACCCAGGCAGGAGGAGAGATGGGATGAGTGGGCTTGGTGGGATAATGCCTGGGCACTGATAATGGACTGATGTTCACTCAGAGGGAGATTTCTAGTGACACCCCAGGGCTGTCTCACTCAACAGTAATGAGCTGAATGGAAATACTGAGTGGAACCCATGAGGGCAATGCAGAATGGGGTGGGTTTGGGGAACATGCTAGATGGCAGCATCAGGATCCACAGGGTAGAACAAGGCTGGGTGCTGCTTGATAACCTCCTCGCTTGGCTGCAAAGCACTGTCTCCATAGAAACAGGATGCAATATGTTTGTTCAGCATCTACCTCGCACCAAGTGCTCTGCTGGGTCTGGGGACTCATTAACGTGTGGTCTGGGCCTGGGACCAGAAGAGACAGATGTACAGTCGGCCCCTCTGTATCCCAGGGTTCTACATCCCTGGATTCAACCAACTGCGGATGGAAAACATTTGGTGTTGCGTCCTGCATGACATGAGCAGTAGGAGAACGAGAGGGGGCAGCGAAGGGTTAAGAAATAAAAGAAACAGCAGTCAAGAGTTAAATGAGTGTGGGGCCAAGGGTCTCTTGCTTCATGGACTAAGCCCCCAATTGGGCCAACACACCGCTTTTATTTCTCCACCTATCCGGAAGTAGCATTGTTCTCTCCACAGTCCGTGAGTTCCATTCCTGAGAACTTGCTCAAGCCAGATTACCCATGCCTGCAAGCTGCTATTACCTAGAGTCCGCCTGCAGTGATAAGACAGATACTCTGCATTCACACACCCTATACACAAAGGACCCCAGGAAGATAAGATTATTATGCTGAGGTCAGATACTATCACACCATCCGGTCACTTCCCAAGCAGGTTGAGGGAAGAAAGTTAGCTACAGAGGTAGAAAATCTCCAGTCTCTTTGGAGGGCGAGTGAGGGCTCATGCCCACCTCCATCAACCCCGAGATTTCTCCTGATGGCCTCCAACCGACTGTGCCTGTCTTAGGTTGTTCCTCCCATGAAGAATCTTACCCGTCACTGACTAACCGGCCATCCTTTGGAGCCAAACAGGGAGATGCAAGGTGTATGAGCAGTGTCCTAAAAAGGGTCAGTTTAGGGTTAAGCGCGGGGGGACAGATGCCTGGACAGCTGTGTGGTAACAACTCAGGGGGAAAAAAGTTGGTTGTTGCTGATGTGTACTGTGTAGTTAGGCCTATGATGGTTGTATCTGTATTGAACATGTGCAGACATTTTTTTCCGAGTCATTATTCCCTAAACAATACAGTATAATTATTTACACAGCATCTACATTGTATTAGTAATCTAGAGATCATTTAAAGTATATAAGAGGAATGGCTCAGTTGGTTAAGAGCTCGCTCAAGAGTTTGAGCTCTGAGCAACAGCGGTTCGAGGCCAGCCCGAGCTGAGCAGCCGCTAAGCTGCCAATAGGTAGCAGGATGGCTCAGCTAAAAAAACCCCAAAAAACAAACAAACAAAAAAAAATAAAGTATATGAGAGGATATTGTGTAGGTTATATGCAGATACTATATCATTTCATTTTATGAGCATCCTTAGATTTTGGTATGTGTGGGGGGGTCCTGGACCCAATCTTCCACAGATACCGAGGGACAACTATTATGTATGTAGTTGGGAGCGCTTTGATAGACAAAGTTTGATATGAGTCTGTCCCGTGATAGGACCACCAAATAAAGAATGTGGCCCTGGGCTGCTCGAAGTCTCCTGTCCACACAAAGCAGAGAGTCTTCCTGTCCTGCGAGGAAACTCATTCTTGCTTGCACTTCTGAACATGACAGATTAAGAAAGCATATTCAAAAGAGAGTCCAGGGGGATGGAAACTGAGAAACCCGGTCCCAGAGGAAGAACTGTCCTACCAGGGCTGCCCAAAGCGGGAATGGCTACCTTCACCTCACCTTTGAACTTAGAGGCCTACACAGTGCTGGGTACATATTAGCCCCTCAAATACATATTGAATGAATGAATGAGTGAATGAATGAATTCTTCATTTCAGGAGGTATAAGAACAGAGAATGGATATTTTAAATAGGACTAAAGCTTCTGGTGGAAGATTAAGCCAAACAGTTTTCTAAAATGCAGAAGTGGTAGGGAGCTGTGGATTTGACCTAGGAATTAGTCAGGCAGAGGTTTGGGGTCAGTGCTTCTCTGTGTTCTAGGTAAGCTTGATCCTCTCAATCAAGAACCCCCTCATCCAGCTCAGTTCCCCAAATACCTGCGCTGTTATCGATGCCTCTTGGAGACCAAGGAGCTGGGCTGCCTTCTGGGATCTGACATCTGCCTCACTTCGCCTGGCAGCAGCTGCATGACTCTCTTCATCAAAAACAGTAAGAAGCTTTCTCCTGTCCGTCTTGGGCCCAGTCCATTCCTAAACTGAGTCTCTGCCAGTGTCCTAAGCTATACCCCAAGTCTGGTTTCCACAACCCTAAGATACTGTTCCATCGTGGTCTCTCTTCTTTCCTTCAAAAGAACTCTGTCCCCATTTCCATCACCCCTGCCCTCCTCAGGGCACAGCTGACTGGTTCCCATCGCCCTCACAGCACTTCACCTTAGGGACCTTCAAGGTCACCAAACCCACAGGCCTTCCCTCAGGCTGCCTTGTCCCCATATGTCAGCAGTAGTTCCTGCTAGCATCTCTCTTCTCCTACTCTTCCACTGCCTGTTCCGAATCTCCTTCACTGAGTCTTCTCTCATTCTCCTTGACTTTTAATGGTTCATGTACACCAAAATTTGGGCCCTAGCTATCTTCCAAACCATTTTATCTATTGGGTTGTTGGAAAAGTCATGATGCACTTTTGCATAGAAAACATAGAAAAAATACGTCATGACTTTTCCAACAACTCAATACTTCCGTGACTTCAATCAGCAGCCATATACTGCTTCCTCTTGAATCTGAGTGGCCATATTGTCATGTCAAATTGCCCTCTGGACATCTCCACCTCACTTTCAACTTGCCGATTATTGAGTATCTTCCCTTATTTTTCATGTCGGCTCTTCCACCCACTCCCTCACCTTTTTAAAGTTTGAACACACTTTAAACTTTAAAAGTTTAAATAACACATGCTATGTACCCAGCACCGTTCTAAGCACTTATGGCCCTCTGAAGTAGGCATTATTATTACTCCATTTTACAGATGAGGAAACAGGCGCAGAAAGGTAGATGCCTTGCCTGTGTCTCCTAGGGGCTAAGCCACAGTCGGTGCTGGCTCTAGAGATGGCACTCTTAACCACTGCATGAAGCTGTCTTTATTCAAATAATTTTATTAGATTAATGATTTTACCGAGTGGCTCAGTTGGTTAAGAGCTCCCTCAAGAGTGCGAACTCTGAGCAACAGCGGTTCGATGCCCGGCCCGAGCTGAGCTGCCGCTGAGCTGCCAACAGTTGGCAGGATGGCTCAGCTTAAAAAAAAAAAAAAAAAGATTAAAGATTTTAAATAGCTGACACATAGCCACGGTTAAATACTATAGTATTCAAGAGGGTCTTAGAAAAGTCGTCCTCCCACCCTGGCACAATCCACCCAGCTCCCATGCACACAACACAAAACCACTCTTTGAGTGGTCTTGATGATCCTTTTTGTGATCTTTTGTGGACATTCCACCATATACAAATATACTGTTTACTCCATCTTCATCTTTTTGCCCCTACAAACAGTAGCACACCCCTGTAAACACTGTCCTGCATTTGCTTTTTAAGCTGAACAGTTATGGGAACTAATGTTTCCATGACAGTTTGTAAACATCTTCCTCATTACGTCGGCCCGCTGCATAGCTCTCTGTGGTGGGCATGTCAGAGGATCTAGCCACGTTGCTGTTGACGGACTGTTAGGTTACTTCAACTTTTTCTCTCTCTCAAGCAAGGCAGCAGTGAACATCCCTATACCTGGGCACAAAGATGTTTCCCCCCTCTAACATATACCCATATAATAGCAGCAGACATATCTGCTCTTACTTTTAATCCATAAAATAAACAACAAACACCTCCTCTGTGCAATCCAACCTCCAATACATCGCCCAACTTTTTTTGACTTGGTTCTGCCCAAAGTGCTGGTTCTCCCTACTTCACTCCACAAGCCCAGCTCAGCCCTCTCCAACTGTCACTGCATTTCAAATGTCTTTTTTCCACCAACCTTCTATGGGAAACTTCTGTAGAGTTCATGGCTGGTAATTCTCTGACATTTGCTGCCCCTGCCCAGTTCCAGGAATCTCTGTTTTGGGGTCCAGGGGAGGGGGTGGGGGTAGTGATGAGAAGTCCACATGGAGTTAGGGGATGGAGGCTTTGGGCTTTGCCGGGGACCTCCACATCACCGGTTGCTGCTGTCCCCCAACCCCAGGCAGTGGTACTGACATCATGGTGAGTGACTGTGTCCGCAGGGAGCAGATGAGTGACTGCACACACACCCGTACTTCTCCGGTGTTTGGCTTCTGGACATTCTCTCGATGCTGCTTCCAGAATTTCTGCAACAACCCACAGAACAGAGTGTTATATAGTCCATAGAACTTCTGCAGAGACCTCTGGAGTAAAATGCTGCCAGTATCCTGACTGCGGACACAGCCGGGACAACTTCCAGTCCCTCCCACCAGCCCCCCTGCCTTCCCCAGGTCACCGGATCCCAGCCCCAGCTGCCTCTTGCTTGACAACAGCCCCATTCCCACTCTGCCCCTCCCCAGATGTCTCTGGAGTTTTCCCTTCAAGTTCTCTTAGTCTGACATGTTCCCTCCTCTCTTCTCCCACCTCTCGGTTGCCTCTCTGCCCTGCTTTGCTCCTCGCTTACTCCAACCTGGCCTCTCTTGCCAGGTGTTCCTCCAAAATAAACTGGTATACAAACTGTATGGTTCGTTTGTCTCTTCTGGTGGAGGTGGCAGCTGAGGGATGGGGTCCTGTCTGACTACCCCATCATGGGGGCAGGGAAGGGGCTCCCAGCTCTGCTGAATTCCTCTCCTGCCCTGCCTTGGGTGTCTCTGATTCAGCTCTAGGCACAAAAAGGTGATGAAGAATTGGAAGGGGGTACAGTGAGGGCCAAAAGGGCAGTGGGCATCCTTGTTGGTGCTGTCAGACCCAGAGCTGTGCGGGAACTGCAGGGGAGGTTCATAGGGGGCGGGGTGTCAGTGGGAGTGGGGCTGTGAGCAAACCAGGCCCAGGGAGGATACTCTGTGGAAAAGCTGCTAGGTCTAGTTTAGCCTGGGCTGTCTGGTCCCAGGCTCAGCTTCCCTCTTCAAGGGCCGTGGTTAAGTCACTCTGCAGTGTTGGGCCTTGGATTCCTCAGCCTCTGAGGCTGCCTTCCAGTTTGTATAAACCTGGGCCTGTCGGAGGTCATGGGGAAAAGTGGGTCCAGCAGGACCCAGCAAGGAACACATGGATGGTCTGTACCTCTTTGTACCTCCAACTGCCTTCTGACCTAAAAATTAATGTTGGTGTGTCTCACCAGAGCACAGGCTATCAAAGGGGCCATGGCGGTATCACCTACACAATATAGGTACCAAATGTTGTGTAGGTAAGAGTATATGCTGCATGACACCATTTCTATCAAGCATACACAATCTATCTGAGCTGCTCCAACTCGGGGCAGGGAGTGCCTGGGAGGACACATGGAGGTGGCTTTGGGTACTGATAAAGGCCTTTACCTGACTTGGGAACTGATAACACAGGTGGATAGTTTATAAAAGCCCATCTTATGGTATGTAAGACTTTGGAGTATTTTGCCTGACAGGTTTAAAAATAGGCCAGCATCTGTGTTTGTTTCTAAGGCATCTATTTTTGAGGCCCTACCTTCCACTGTGTACATGTTTACATGCATTCTCTCAATCTTAGGAGGCACAGCCCTACTTGACAGGTGACCAAAGTGAGGCAACTTATCTAAGTGCAGAGGACTGACATTGGGCCCCCCGGTCACAAAGCTACAAGACTTCAGAAAAAGATTTCATAACCCCAGCACTGGGTTGAGGTTCGGAAGGGCAGACACTTGGCTCTACCGACTGCGAGTCCTGGTACTCAACCCTGGGCCTGGCGCCAACCTGTGTGTCTAGTGTTCACTGACTATGAGTAAGTCAGTTACAGCTCTTCATTATTGCTTTCACTTTAAAAAATAAATTAATATATATGAAAGTCCCCCCCACCAAAGGGGCCCGGAGTTCCAGGATCCTGAGAAGAATGGACAGGTGTCACGTCCAGCGTGGCAAGGGCAAACGGGTTTCTCTTGAGGGGCGGCGTGGATTGAATAAAGAGTCAGAGACAAAAGTAGGATTAAGAGCGAGACCAAGGGACTCAGTCAGAGAAACTGAGCAAGCCCAAGGGACTCATTCAGAGAATCTGAGCGAGCCCCGAATTGGGTCAGCGCATGGCTTTTATTGAGAAATTAGAAAAGAAGTGAAACTGCTTTACTGCTGTCAATCAAATTAGCATCTGTTTGGGGTCTGGGCCTCAAAGCCTTTTTCCTTTAACATATCCCATTATGTTCCAGCAAATGCTATGCCTTCACATATCCGCCGCATAGCCCCAGGACACCTGGTTACTATGTCCTCCCAGAGGAGATTAACTGTTTAGCATTCCAACAGGTCCCAGTCGCACCTGGAGACACTTCTCAAATCGGCCTCCGGTCATACCGGGGCACCCCCTCAGAGAGATTGCAGCCTCCGGTCATATCGGGGCTTTTCTCTCTGAACTAATGGGAAAAGAGGCTAAATGCGGGGGGACATGTTAATAGAAATCAGCTTCAGGCAACAGACAGGCAGGAACTCAGGTCGCACAGCCCCAGGTAACTCAGAGGCAGACCTGGGCCCTTTGGTTTGCTCTTGAGCTTTCCTGATTTAGGGTTTTCCCTCTTCAGTGGAAGAACTTCACCTGGGCTTCTTTCTAGATTTTGTTGGGTATGTTGAAGGCTGGGAGGTGTCACAATCCTCATGCTTTGATCTCGAGCTGAGCAGAGGGTGGGATGTACGTGGGCCCTTTGAAGCAGGCCATGCAGAAGCCACAAAGGCCACGTGCAGTGGGCAGGGCTCCACAACCTTGCTGAACCCCACACCCAATTAACTTTCTTTAGCCTGTCTGTATCTGCCCACACCTGAGTCTTAGCCGATAAACAATGTGAGTGACACAGACTTAACCCAGTTTGTTTATTGTGGAGGGAAATCAGGGGCCATGGAGCAAGCAGGGCAGAGAAGTCTACCCCTCATCCTTCTTGCCGCAAGTTCGGTCTGACACTGGGTCTTAGGGGTGGGGGGCGGGGAGAGGTGATGGAACGAACACTCAGATGATGGGAGAGGGGCGAGGACGCCACTGCCTTTCCCAGGTCGGTCTGGGAAGAATCTGCACTTGAGATTATTTTCTAGGAGGAAGAGCACTGGGTGCAGTGCCAATTGGTTTCCAGGGAGAAATTTAAACCAAAGGCATACAGACACGAAGTACACAGGACAGAGGGTTTGAGTGAGCAGAGCAGAGATTATGGTGTTCTGAGAGGGCAGTGCAGGATACTGGGGTGTTGGGAGAGAGGCTGGAACAGACTGGAATCTGGGAAGCATAAAGGATCAGGGCCCAGCTCGGGGAAGAACCAAAAGTCCTGAATTGTTGAGGAATAAGTATATGTGGCGCAGGTCAGCAATGGACAAGCCCAGGTTCAAGGGCAGGGCAGCCAGGGGGTCCAGGCCTTTAGGTTCCTCCCCAGCATAGAAGCTGGGGAGGGGCAGTGAGAGGTTCAGTGCCTGGTAGAGCCACTGGACCTGGGACCTGGGCAGAGGCAGGACCAGGGCCCCATCGGGGGACTCAGGCAGGGAGCTCTGGAGCTGGGGGCTGGACCAGGAGTTGCAGTAATCATACTGACAGCACTGGGCCTGGTACCAGTACTCTGAGAAGTAGGTGTTGCGTTTTTCTTGGCAGCGGTAAGAATTGTACTGTCCACAGCCTCGGATGAAGAAGCGAATCTTGGTATCTGGAGAAGGGACAGCTAATAACCCATTGCCTCTCACAGTCCCTAAACTTAGCACCCCCTACCACGGACTCTCACTATCCCTCACCAGACCCGACTTGCACCCCAGACGCCTTCAGAAGGGGTAAAAAAACTAGCCCAGCTGGCTCTGAACTCCAGGCCCCTTTCCAGGATCCTCCTGCCTCCTTGTGCCCCAGGCCTCAAGTAGTCTTAAACTCACCGTAATAGATGGTGATCACCATGCATGGGGACGAGTTGCCAATGGTGCACTTCTCCGAGCCTGAAATGCACCCTACAGAAGGATCTTCTAAGAGGCAGAGGTGGCAGGTCCGGACTCGAGAAACAGGAGCTGAGAAACACAGGAGGAATGGCGCATTGGCTCCCCAATCCAAGTTCCCTGCCCTGCAGGGAGCCCACTATCCAGGGCCACAGCCCCACCCCATTCTTTCCTGGACTCAGGCATCCCTTACGTCCTGCTCCTGGGCCCTACTTACCCTTTCCCACTGCGAAGCCCACCATGACCAGCACACCTACAAGATTATGGGCCTTCATTTTGGAATTCTGGGGATAGGGACAGCCCCTGAGGGGTGCCCTGAAACCCCACCTTCCTGTGACCAGTGCTCCTTGATCCTGAGCTGCAGGCTGGTTTTGACAGGCAGAGTCTGAGCTGGAGCTGCTGTAGGTAGAGCTACATTCCTGCCTGGGGCAGGATCTGGATGGTGGGAAATTATTAACTTGACAGGAGGGACAGCGTGTCTTCACCCACGAGGTCTGGTTCCTGAATGTGGGAGCAGTGGCGGAGACAAGGCCACACCTGGGCCTTTGATCCAGCTCCCTTTGTCCCGCATGCCTCCCAAAGACCTGTTCCCGCCCCTCAAGGGCCCATGGATCAGCTTGTCTCTTGCACCATCTGCAGTTCTCCCCACACAACAGGGCCAGTTCCTCTTGTGCTGGGAGGAACTCTGGCCAGGAACACAGCATTCCCATCTGAGACGGGGATGTCTCAGCTTCTCCAGGAGGGGGCGCACAGACACCATGGAACAGCAATTCTCGACCTTGCCCCTCCTCTCCACCCCTTACAGTTGTTTATTTTTGAGTCATTTTCCCTGTAAAACCAAAACTGAAAGTGTTATGTCCCTTTACAGTATAAACAGACAGCCGTAAGTAGCCCCCAAAGAACAAATATTTCTCTACTCTTTGAAATCGGATTTTTCTCTGGGTCTTTTCCTTGATTTTGCACACTCCCATACCCAGTCCTAGGAATTCTGCTCTGCTACTAAAAACATCACCCAAATCCACCAGGTATAATTCTGTGCTGGTTTTCAACTTGGGGAGGGTGGGCTGGGCCACCAGGGCCCCAGGCATCCAGCACACCACTACCCTCCCTTCCCCAAACCCAAGCACCAGCAGACCAGCGCATGGCCTTTTCTTTCATTTTATTTTATATTCCCACCACAATAATGACTCCTTTAATTTAAACTAAAAACCATGGAGAGTTCTTGAAAGGGTGGCAGCAAAGGAATGGAGGTGTCAAAGACTGCGGACACTCAGGGACAGATGGGGTGGGGGATCAGCGAATCGTCTTGACCGGGCTCTTGAAGTTGCTGGCGGCTTGGAGCTGCAGCTGGTAGGCCATCGGATGGATCTTGAAACCGTAGAGCCTGGACCAGGGCAGAGGTTGAGAGGCAGCGGGGTGAGCCCCACGCAGCCCTGCCAGTGGCCTGCATCCCCACTCCCCACCCCAGCTCCTCCACAGGCCTGCTCAGTGCTGAAGGGCAGTGGTTCCCAAACTCCTCCCCTCCAGAAGATTTGGGAATGTACCTTAAGTATCTATTAAAACTCAACTCTAGGCTATGTATATATGTATCAGTACTTGTTTCAATATAAAATGGAACTTTCCTTCCCTAAATCAGAGGAAAAACGATGCTCTAGGAAGAAAACCACACTTGAACTGTAGCTCTGAGACGTCCTGGCAGAGGCTGAACACCCAAGATGGTACAAGAACAGCTACTATTTAAATGGTGCCTCATGGGTCAAACGTCATCCTAAGCAGTTCGCACATTTAAAAATACCCTACCAGGCAGGTACTATCATTGCCCCCATTTTACGGACCTGGGGATTGAGGCGTAGGCAATCAAAGAACTTTCCCAGGGTCCTTCAGCAGGGAGGGCAATGGCTTTGGGAGAAGCAGAGCTCAAGAAAGAACCATGCCCCCTCTTCCCTTCTCTCTGGGGGTCCAGACCTGTCCTGTGAGCCCTGGCAATTCTGCCCCTTCTTCCTACCTGGGCACAAACTGGTTGGCGGGCCGTTTGGGCCGGTACTCTGGGTGTACCATGAAGAGCATGTGAGGGAAGCCAGTGCCGAAGTAGGCGCCGTCCGTGTGGTGGTGCCTCGATGACTTGGGTGTGTACACGTCCATGCACTTGGGGCAGTAGAGCTTCACCATGGCCTCACCTGGGATGTCTGAAAGGCCTGGGAGACAGCCAGGCTCAGCATGCCAGGCTCCCCCACCTTGCCCAACCTCCTTTCCAGAGGACCTGCCATCTGCTGCCCTCCTTCTCCTTCTCCAACACTTACCGATGGGGAGCATTGGCTGGTTCTCACAGTACACACGGGGACAGTAGCCAAAGTCTCCCTGCTGGTATTTTTCCAACTGAGGTGAATAAAATGGAAAGGGTTGGTGGGTAGGTGCAAAGAGCAGAGGCAATCCCCTCCTCTGCCCAACCTGCATCACTCTGCCCCCCCCCCCCCCTATCTCTTTCTGTCCAGAGGCCCCTTCTCTGGCCCTGGGACTCTCTGCTTCCTTTTCTCCACTTAGGCAGGCTGCAGACCATCACAGCCATTCGCTGTTTGTTCCCCAAGGAAGAGACAGTCTATAACAATTCCCTGTCCAAGATCACGTCCCCCTCCCTGAAAACACCCCCTTTCAGGACAACCCCCAATCAGGATTAAACACCAGGCCCAGATTCTGAGATAATTTTCCTCTTCTCAGCTAGACTTCTTGACAGGGTTGAAACATGTCACTTCCTGCTGCAGGAACCTCTGTTTCCCTTACTGCCTCAGGAGTCAAGTGGGAGCAGAGAGGCCTCACCATCTGGGCGATGCCACGGTTGGTGAGGATATAGCGGGCGTGGATCAATCCATAAAGCATCTCGGCTGCCTGTTCAATCAGGTCACTCTGGTTGGGGTTGTCTTCCAGCTCTTCATCTGAAACATGGCCCCAGCTGAATGCAACCACTTGTCTTACAGCTTTCTTGGGTGCCCTGCCCATCCCTGGGGGCTGTTGGCTACTCAGTTCACCCAGCACCCACCTTTGAACCTCACCCCACCCATCATGTGGGCATCTGACCCAGAAACCTGGGCCTCTGACCCTTCCACTAACCCAAGACAGCTCTACCTTTTCTCCATACCTCCCCAGCCTCCGCTCTCTTCTCTCCTTCCCAACTCCCTCCCCAACACACAAATGCAAAAAATGTCAATGCAGAAGAGGGAACTGTAGCCCGAAAGTGCAAGGTAGAGAAAGAGGCAGAAAATGAGACCCCTGGGGAAACGCACTATGGAATATAGCTGAGTTATAGGATCCGAGTATGGGAACAAGTGGTATCAGTCACAAAACTAGGCAAGAGTCAGGTGGGGGGATCAAAATGAAGTAGGGGATTTTGGGTTAAGGGAATCAGAAAACAAAAAGGAAATTTAGAAATTCAAGAAGCAGGTACATTAAGATTTGAAGAGGAAAAAAAGCATACACACACAAAACAACCCTGAGGGTGACGCACCAGGCTCCAGGTCCAAGATCATGTCTAGAGCTTGTCGATAGTGAGGCACCTGCTCATTGAGTCCAGTGAGATTGAATTTGTCCTGGATGTAGTCTTCATCCACCTGTAAGGATGTGGAGGTCAAGAGGGAACCCATAGCAGAATCCCTTGGCTGTGACCTGAGCAAGCTGCTCTAGCTGACGCCTTATCCTCAATACAACTGTCTGTTCCCAACTTCAAACTCAGCAGAAGTACTTGAATCTCTCTCCCCAGTTTACCCACACTGCCCTGCCATAGTAGCGTTCGCTTTTCTTTTCTAAGGATAGGCAGGTACAGCAATCCCTTCCTTAGAGAGGCTTCCCTTTCAAGATACCTGTCCCTACACCTGGGTCCCCCCCCCATCTTTAGGAACCAGTTTTGTCCTCTCCTTAGGGGCAGATGACTCTCTGAGAAAGGTAGAGGTCGAACAGCATGGGTTCTGAAGGCAGTTACATCCCTTATGTTGACACTCGTTATGTTAAATCGTTACAAAACATTTTAACACGCAGTATTTTAATTCTCCTAACAGTCACCAGGGATAGATATTACCAATACCACTCTAGTAATAGAAAAAGACAGATTGATTTGTCCAACGTTATACTGCTGGAGGGTGGCAGGGGTGGGAGTTGGGCCCCAGTCTTGCCATGTCACCACAAATTAGTGGTGGGTTACTGAGGGGACTCTTCCTTGACAGGAAAAAGTTTCTATGGAAGAATGCGAGAGAAGTGTGTAGAAGCTGAATATGTGGGAGACTATCTGGCCAGACTATGTGTGGAGATAAGTAGGGAGATTGAGGAGAACTCACTTCACAGAAGAATTCATTGCCACGGAGTCCACAGAACCAGGAAATCCAGGACACCTCCTCTGAGCTGCTCATCTTCACGTCGGCTGGAGAAAGAACAGTTTCAGTGTAACCCAGGCTCTCCCTCCCTGCCTCTGGTATCCTCCCTCCTCCCACACGCTCTCCAACCACGGAAGAATTTGGGGCCACCTTTTCTTAAAGGATCCCAGGCCCCGGAACACCTCTCTCCAGATCCTCTTATTCACACTTTAACTCCTTTTCTCTGAAATCAGAAATTCTTTGGGGTCCCACCACTTGCGAGAAACCGACAGGTCTTGACCCACCAGTCCTACCCACGTCGCCGACGCTCCCAAAAGCCAGGCCCCTCTCCCCTTCGTATCAACCGCGGTCGGGCCCTCGGCCCTCCCTCAGGTCTCTGCATGTTCCGGGGCCTTTCCCAAGGGTCCCGAAGTTTATCCTTTCCAAGCAAGAAATGGGCCCCTCTTTTTCTCATGGTCTGGAGGTGGCTCTCAACTCCCTTTTGCAGGAGTCCCCACATCCCGCCTCCGCCCCTCAGGCCACCTCTTCCTCCCTGAGTGCCGGACCAGGTCAATTCCTTCTCCACCAGCACATCGAGGCGCGGAGACCCCCATGTGCCGCGTCCAGGGGAAGGGCACTCAGCGCGGCGGCGACCTCAGACTCACCGGCTTGACTGGGGCCAGGACCGGGGTGGGGGAAGGGAGTTGCTGCTTCCAAGGAACGGCGGCGACCGCTACAGCACAGGCCGCGGACCGGATCGCGGCAGGCGAAGTGGGGAGGGGGGAGTGGAAATTGAAGAGGGTGGAAAAGAGGGCAACGCGCAAGCGCCAAGGGTCGGGCGCCGCGATGGACGCCGGGAGATAGAGTCTCTGCTAGAGAGAACCTGGTGAAACGAGGGAAAGGTGAACTACGAATTCCAGGGTGACCTGCGCACGACCTTGGTGTCGCGAGGCCCCTGAGGAGGACGCTAGGGGCGGGGCGCAGCGAGGCTCCACCGGAAGCGGAAGGTCTGTACCGCGTCCTGCGCCAGGGAGCTTGAAAAATATAGTGTGATCGCGGGACTCGGGGGGTCGCGAGGGGGTGGGGTAAGGAATGAGGCTGGTTGGGTGATTTCCTGCGGTTCTCCTCACACAGCGAGCGAACCTTTGGCCCTGGCGCGCTCCTCCTGGCCAGAGGACTGACTTCATCCCCAACCAGCCCTTCGGCCGAACCAGACACGCCACTGGAGACCCCCGACGGGCCCCATGTTTCACCTGGGGATCCGGCCTCCTGAGGTGGGAGGTGAGGCCGCCCTCCGTGCTGAGGGACCTGGGTAGGATGTGCTGGGCTGAGCTGAACGGTGTGAGAGGTGGGTCAGCCCAATGCTAACCTGAGGTGGTGCCAGCCATTATTGTGCTGCTCGTTTCTATTTCCTCTTAGGGCTTGAATGAGGCCTTTTGCTGCGGACGCTAAGTGTGACCTTCGAACCCTGGTTGGAGTAATGGTGAGGGGCAGTGTGACATTATTTCATTTCACATCTCTGGGCATTCCATAGGTTTCCCTCGCCCTCCGCAGGGCCTTTTTTAGCCCAGAGAGTAGTTTCCCAGCTCCAGAAAATGATATCAGATCTGGGACCAAGTGGAGGGAGACAAAGGGCATTGTGGGGTGTTATGTAAAAACAGGACCTCAACTGACAGATCTCGGTCCTCGTGCTACCCTGGCACGTGACGCTTTGCGCGAATATTATTGGAAAGGTTGGAGGGCCGGAAACAGCCGGGTGCTTTCTGCACGCCTGTACCTTCAAGTACAAGTTTGTTTTTTTCCAGCCACGCATGTGTCTTCTAGTCGTCTGGCTACGTGATCAGGTGAACTGTTGTTTAGAGTGGTGCCATTCTGCAGTACGAAAGCTACAAGGCAACGCAGATTGCAGCCTCCCCCCAAATCTGTTTTCTGCTTCCGGAGAAGTGTCAAGTCTGTTTTTGTTTGAGAAGATAATACCCAAAATAGGATCAAGGAAGATTTAAAGGGCCAGGCT